GGGGAAACTATGGCTCCCTTCATGACTGGTGGACTTCAACTCCCAGAATTCCTCAGCCAGCATGGGGGAACTATGGCCCCTTCATGACTCGTGGACTTCAACTCCCAGAATTCCTCAGCCAGCATGGGGGAACTATGGCCCCCTTCATGACTGGTGGACTTCAACTCCCAGAATTCCTCAGCCAGCATGGGGGAACTATGGCCCCTTCATGACTGGTGGACTTCAACTCCCAGAATTCCTCAGCCAGCATGGGGGAACTATGGCCCCTTCATGACTCGAGGACTTCAACTCCCAGAATTCCTGAGCCAGCATGGGGGAACTATGGCCCCCTCATGACTCGTGGACTTCAACTCCCAGAATTCCTGAGCCAGCATGGCTCAGCTTGGAAACTCTCCCTTTCCCCTCAGCACGGCTGGCCCAGGAATTCTGGGAGTTGAAGTCCACCAGTCATAAAAGAGCCAAGGTTGCCTACCCCTGGTCTACGCCGAGCCACACCTAAACCCCTGGTTGACCGGATGTCTTGTGCATGGGGGGGGGGGAAGAACTGACCCACTGAGGGCCCCGGAGCCCAGCAGAAGAAAACCGGATCCCCCTTATCGGCCGGAAGAGGCCAGGCCGCCACTCACCCGGGACTCCAGAGGGTAGCAGGTCTTCAGATGAGGCGGACACACCCGGTTGCGCTGCTGGAGTTCCGCAATGCGGTTCCAGCCGTCCACCTGGTCGGGCTCGTCGTCGCAGGAGCCGGTGTAGAAGCTGCTGCGGCCTGCGGGGGAGAGGGGGGGGGACAGGGGGGTCAGGCAGGGCGTTGACCGACAGGCTTCCCAAAGGATGACAGATCCCGCTGGGAGAGAAGCAGGGGAGACATTCGGTGCAGACCCAGCGGGACTGCGAGTCTGGGGGTGGCTCTCTAGGGCAGGTTTCCACAATTGTGTCTGTGTGTGTGTGTGTGTTTGTATGTCCACCTGACCCCTGCAGCAGGAAGTCAAATCCCCAGGGCACCCTTTCTCCACTGTGCCTGCTTTAAGATGCGCGGACTTCAACTCCCAGAATTCATCAGGGCTGGCTGGGGAGCTCTGGGGATTGAAGTCCACGCATCTTAAAAGCAACCGAGGTTGTAAAAAAACAGATTTAGATGGTTCTGATGGGGGATTTGGATAAAGCTGGGCAGGGGGTCTTCCAACTTGGCCCTTGGATGACTTGTGGACTTCAACTCCCAGAATTCCTCAGCCAGCGTGCCTGGCTGAGGAATTCTGGGAGTTGAAGTCCAGGGGTCTTCCAACTTGGCCCTTTGATGACTTGTGGACTTCAACTCCCAGAATTCCTCAGCCAGCGTGCCTGGCTGAGGAATTCTGGGAGTTGAAGTCCAGGGGTCTTCCAACTTGGCTCTTTTATGACTTGTGGACTTCAACTCCCAGAATTCCTCAGCCAGCATGCCTGGCTGAGGAATTCTGGGAGTTGAAGTCCAGGGGTCTTCCAACTTGGCCCTTTGATGACTTGTGGACTTCAACTCCCAGAATTCCTCAGCCAGCAACGCTGGCTGAGGAATTCTGGGAGTTGAAGTCCACAAGTCATCTAAGGGCCAAGTTGGAAGACCCCTGAAGTAGGGGGGTCTCCAAGCTTGGCAACCTTAAGACTTGTGGACAGAGTTTCTTAGCCAGCAGGGCTGTTGGGGCGTTGAAGACCCCAAGTCTTAAATCTGCTAAGTCTGGAGCCCCCCGGGATATGGTGGAGGATTGTGCTGTTGGTCAAGAGAAGCATTGTGGACCCATGAGGCAAAGCCAGAGGATCCCGTCTCCCACAGCACCCTGAAGATCAGGGCTCCCCCTCCCTCTAACACGGCAGGGTCCACGCCCTGTGCCCCCCGCTCTCACCGCTGCTTGCGCCCCCGGCCTGGGAGTGTCTCAGAGAACTGCGGGTGGCGGGTCGATACCCCGGCAGGCTTTTCAGCGCAGCGTGTCCGGTGGTGCCGTCGGGCGAAGAGGCGGTCAGCCGGCTGAGGGACTCCTGGGAGGGGAGGCTGGCCAGCGAGCGGATGGAGGAGGAGGAAGAGGAGGCTGCGGCCGCCGAACGCAGGCGGGTCTTGACCGACTCCTGGCCGCTGTCCCCGGAGCCGGAGGACCGCAGACTGACGAAAGACTCGTTGGTGCTGTCCAGAGGTTCCAGCTTGGGGTGTTTCTGGGAAAGGACACAAAGGGGGAGGTCACACCCCAAGCGGCAAGAAACAGCCCCGTGTGCGAGGGAGGGGTGCCCACCACTGCACCCCCCCAGCCCTCAGCTCCAGGGGCAGGTCTCCCGTGGGCGTAGGGTCCGGCACCCTGGCTGCCCCCTTCATTTCCCCCCACCCCTTACTTTGATCATGGTGATGTTGATTAGCTGTGTGGTGCGCCGGCGGCCGGAGAGCGCTTTCCGCCCGGAATCCAAGGTGATGTTGCCGATGGAGTCGATGCTGCTCTCCAGCTTGGACCGCGAGCGGGTGGGGATGGGCGTGAAGGAGAGGTTCTCCAAGGACTGCCTCTTGTGGGGCAGCTGCTGGGGGGTCCTGGACGATTCCACGGCCCCGGATTCGGACAAAGAACGGCGAGTCTTCCTGCTGGGGGGACGCACAGAAGCAGACCGTGGAAACAAGAGGTCAGACCCAGGCAGAAGCCTCTATGCCGAGGTGGGCAGCTCCAGCCTGGAGGATCCTGGCTGCTGCCGCCTGTGTGGTCTTGGGCCAGCCGAGATTTGCAGATGGGTCACTTGGGAGAGCTCCACTGGCTGCCCGTTGGCTCCCGGGTCCAATTCAAGATCTGGTTGTCCTCTCTAAAGCCCTGCCTGGTTATTTCAGGGACCCCCTTTTCCCAGTGACATCCTCCTGACCCATCAGAGCGGGGAGGAAGGGGATGTGACAGATTGCCCCCTCTTTAAGGAGGTCCATCTGGTGGGACCTAGAAGAAGGGCGACCATAAGAAAAGGCTGAGCGCCAAAGGATGGAGGCCTTTGGACTCTGGTGCTGGAGAAGACTCCTGCGAGTCCCCTGGACTGCAAGGCGATCCAACCGGTCAGTCCTGGAGGAGATCAACCCCGACTGCTCTTTAGAAGCCAGATCCTGAAGTGGAAACTCAAGTCCTTCCGCCACCTAATGAGAAGGAAGGACTCCCTGGAGAAGAGCCTGATGCTGGGAAAGATCAAGGGCAAGAGAAGAAGGGGTCGACAGAGAAGGAGGTGGCTGGATGGAGTCCCTGAAGCAGGAGGCGTGAGCTTCAATGGACTCCAGAAGATGGTGGAGGACAGGAAGGCCTGCAGGAACGTCGTCCATGGGGTCGCGATGGGTCGGACACGACTTCGCAACTAACAACAAGAAGAAGGGCCTTCTCCATTGTGGCTCCTTCCCTGTAGAACATCATCCCTGTGCAGGTAAAACCGGATGCCACCTTGACCCTCTTTCAAGAGGCCTTGAAGACCTGGTTCTACCAACGGGCATGGAGACCCCAGAGGAAGGGCTTGGTGCAATTGTTGTTACCAGGGTATGTATATGTGTGTGTGTGTGTGTGTGTGTGTGTGTGTGTTATTTGGGTACATGTTCGACTTTTACTTCTGTAAGCTGCCCAGAGTCACTGCGGGCAGCTTTATAAACTTTCTTAATAAATAAATAAAGTAGTATGTTTCACGCCCTGCCACTCTCAACCGTAATCTCCAGAAAAGTCAACCCCCCACTCAGTCTGAAGACCCCCAAAAGAACCAACAGGAGAAAACGTCTGTAGCTCAGGATTGAACTGAGGGGTCCCGGTTGCTCCCTTGAGTCTGGTGGGGTTTTTTTGCAGACGTTTTGTTATCAAACTAGGTGACCTCACCAGGGTTAGAAGGAGTGAGGTTTGCGAGGAGGAGGAGGAGGAGGAGGAGGTGGTGGAGGAGGAGAGGACTGTGGTGTCCTTGGTGCTCTCTTGAGCTGGGTGGTTTTCCTGCAGACGTTTCATGACCCAACTAGGAAACATCATCAGTGCTAGAAGCGAGGAGGAGGAGGAGGAGGAGGAGGAGGAGGAGGAGGAGTAAGACTGTGGCACTCTCGATGACTCTAAGCTTTTCTTACAGATGTTTCATAGTTAATATTACCTAGTTGGGTCATGAAACGTCTGCAAACCCCCCCCTCCAAGCTCAGAGAGGACCAGGGACCCCAAAAGAATCGGTCTCTGTTCTGTGGCCACCCAACAGCCCCGCTCTGCGACGGAAGGAAAAACTGGGCAGGAGTTGTGGCGCAGAGGCTGCCCTCCAGAGCCGGGGGGGAGGAGGAGGAGGAGGAGGAGGAGGAGGAGGAGGAGGAGGAGGAGGCCAGGATGCAGCCGTTACCTGGTGGAGTTTAGGGGCTGCCCTTCATCGCTGGTGCTCAGGTCCAGGCTGTCGCTGCTGATGTCGGCCGAGCTCTGCTTGAAGGACTCCCGGCCCTTCAGGCTCTCCAGGGCCGCCTGGACCTTGCCCTGCTCCCGAAGCTGCCGGTCCGAGAAGTCCAGCTAGAGGGGGGGGGGGAGTATGGGTAGAATTAGAAGCAGAAGCCCCAGAGAGGGAAGGAGAGGCTTGGCAGACCCACCACAGAGCCCATGGGGCACATCTCAA